GAAATGCACAATTCTGTAAAGATTGGTCAGAAGATTTGAAGAATTATTTCTGAAAAGGAAAGAATGACCATAAAATAAAGACCGAGGAGTTAGAGTATGAGAAAACTGATAATAAAATTTGCTACAAATATTTCAAAAAGTAAAGAGTAACAAATAAGTACTGATCATTTAAAGAATGAGAATGGGGAATTAAGGTGATCAAAGAAAATGATGAAAGCGTCAAACAGATAGTTTGTGTCTGTCCTCACTATAGAAGACTCTAATAATATCCCAGAAATTCTTGTAAAGTAAGGAGTGCAAGGCCGGGAGGAACTAAAATGGGTCTAAATTAATATAGGATATCTGGTCGGCATGGACAAGTTGGACTGAAGGGTCTGTTTCCATGCTGTACATCTCTATGACTCTATAATTGAAAATTATCAGTGAAAGTTAAGGGTAGAGATAAAATGATCAGAGGCAAAGTTTAACCAGTCTGTGGGATAGAGGATTACTGAGCTGAGAGAGTAGGGATAAATGAATCACTTTCAGGTTAGCAATCTGTTACCACAGGGACCAGTGCTGTGGCTTCAACTATTTATAATCTATATCAATGATTTGGATAAAGGGTCACAAAGGTAGGTAGAAAGAGGGGTGTCACGGTGGCTCACAGCACCAGGGACCCGGGTTCAATTCCACCCTTTGTGTGGAGTTGGCACATTCTCCCCGTGTCTGCGTGGGTTTCCTGACAGGATGAATAGAAAAGCAGAGACAGATTGTAGTGTAGAGGGATCTGGGTGTCCTGGTATGTGAATCTCAACGAGTTAGTCTGCAGGTACAGCAAGTGATTCAGATGGCAAATGGAATACTGCCATTTATTGCAAGCAGAATGGAATGTATAAGTAAGGATTGTTTTTGGTACAGTCCAGGGCAGTTGGTGAGCCCAAATCTAGAATAATGAGTGCAGTTTAACATTAGAAACAATTCAGGGAATGTTCACTCAACTGATTCCTGGGATGAAGGGGTTTTCTTGTGAGGAAAGCTTGGACAGTCTGGGCCTGTATCATTAGAGTTTCGAAGAATGAGGTGTGATTTTATTGAAACATCTAAAGGGGCTTGATATGGTGGGTGCTGAGAAGCTGTTTCCTTTCCTGGGATGAGAAGTTTAAAAATCAATTTAATATGGAGCTGAGAGGTATTTCCTCTGAGGGTTGTTTGTGTTTGGAATTCTCTTCCTCAAAAAGCAGTGGAGGTTGGGTATTGAAGGCTGCGTTAGATAGGTTCCTGATTGGCAATAGTGTCAATTTATAAGGAGTGGACAGGATATTGGATTAGGTCAGCCGTCATTCTATCAGAATACTGGGTCTGGCTCAAGGAGCCCAGCCCTGCTCCTAATTCATATATTGTTATGTAGACAAAGGCCCATCAAGTCCATGCTGGCTGTCAGTAGACCAATCCCCTCAAACCCATTCCCTACCCTATGTTGTAGGTAAACTCACTACAAGCTACCTTTAATTTGGCTACTTACTAAGAAACCTCACAGACATCAAGAACTGAAACAATAACTTAAACTAGGAAATTTGCCTATTACCCGATTAGTGGTGGAATTTAGCTACAACTCCAACCAACAGTGTCTGTCTCTGATGCCCAGGGTTTGATCCTTGTGCGATGTTGTTCTTGAAAGTTCTGCTGATGAAGATGTTGAAGTCTTATTCCATTTCTCATCCTTCAGGTCTGCAGTGTGACATTATTGATGATCTTTTAGATTCTTTCATCCAAAATATTGATTACACTTCTGGGATCCTCGGGTCTGCAGCTTTCCTTACTTATCAGAGGTAGCTCCTCTGTTCTTTGTTACATTTGGCCTTAACTGTCTGCTTGAAGACATATCCTATCTAGCAGTTAACTCCTTCAAATCTTCAGCTGTGCAGTCATTTGTCGTTATGGCATAAGGCATTCAGCTATCAAGCAGACTTCAAGGCTCCTCTTTTTCCCAGACACTAATCACTTTCAATCTCCTCTGTAACAGCTTGTCTTTGTCCCTTAACAATTTATTCCAGACACAGAGTTGCTAGCCTGAAGCATCAGCCTTCCTGCTCCACCGATGCTGCTTGGCCTGCTGTGTTCATCCAGCTCTACACCTTGTTATCACAGAGTTATTGCTCATCCCTTTGTGCATAACCATTTATCTTTGTTGATTCTTTCATTCCATGAACAGAAAGTTTATTATATCACACCTATCTCTTGAATTCTTCCCTCAAATGCTCACCTGATTTCCATTCAAAATGAGTCATCATCTCCACTACTACATCCTCATGACCAGTCACTGGGTTAAAAAATAAGTTCTCCCTCACCTTCTCACCTTTCTCTCCTCCGCTCCCCCAACATCGTATCTCCTGCCCGAAACCAGAACTCTTAGTCCCCGAAGTCTTGTACCAAGAGTTAATGGGAATAGCTTTTCCTTATTGAAACCTCATAATCATGTATATCTCAATCAAATCTCCCCTCAGTCTCCTTTGTTCCAAGGAAACCAACCCCAGCTTCTCCAACCCGATCTTGGAACTAAGCCCCCAGTCCCTGGAAATATTTGGTTAGACCCCCTTTCAAACCTTCCTAATGTGTGGCAATCAGAACGCAGCAAAATTCTCTAGTTGTAGGCTGGCCAGAGTCTCTCTATTAAGTTCCATCTGCCACTTCAGGTCAGCTAGCTTAACATCTGTCATTGGGAAAATGTTGGTGTCTATTCTAAAGGATGTAATAGCAGAGCTTTTAAAAATACATAATATAATCGAGTCGAGTCAGAATGGCTTCAGGAAGGGGAAATGATGCCTGACAAACTTATTAGAAATCTTTGAGGAGGTAACATGTGAGAGAGATAAAGGGGGAACAGTGGATATAATATATTTAGATTATCAGCAGGTATTAGGATACTTAATAAAGATAAGAGCCAGTGGTGTTGGGGGCAGTACATTAGCATAGATAGAGGATCGAAGAACTAAGAAAAGACAGAGAGTTGGGATAAGAGTTTGGGGAAGGTGCACATTCAAGATGCCAACCCATAACTATTGGAGTGCCACAGGGATCAGTGCTGGGGCCACAATTATTTATAATCTATGTTACCGACTTGGATGAGGAAAGTGAATGCACTATAGCCAGGTTTGTGAGTGACACAAAAACAGGTAGGGAATGCAACTGGTGAGGATGACACAGTGAGTCTGCAGAGGGATATAGACAGGTGAAGGGAGTGGGAAAAAGCCTGGCACATGGAATATAATGTGGGGAAAACTGTGAGGTTATGCACTTTGGCAGGAGGAATAGAGGAGTCGAATATTATTTAAATGGAGAAAGACTGCAGAAGGCTACAGAGGGATTTGGGAATCCTCATCCATGAATCAGAATAAATGAGCATCCACGTTCAGCGGGTCAGAGGGAAGGCAAATGGAATGTTGGCCTTAATTTCAAAGGGAATGGAGTATAAAAGTCAGGACGTTTTGCTAAAACTATACAAGGCACTAGTCAGCCCACAGCTGGAATACTGTGAACAGCTTTAGGCCCCTTATCAAAGGAAAGATAGGCTGGCATTGGAGGCAGTCCAGGGAAGGTTCACTTGGCTGATCCTGGGTATGGGGGGACTGTCTTATGAGGAGAGGTTGAGTAGGTTGGGCAGTTGATGCTGAACTCATTGAAGTTTAGAAGAATGAGAGGAGACCATCTTGAAACATACAAGATTCTGAGTGGATGTGACAGGGGAGATGTGGAGAGGTTGTTTCCCCTCGTGGGAGAGTCTAGGACCAGAGGATATAATCTCAGAATAAGGGCTCACTCATTTAACACAGAGATGGGGAGGAATTTCTTGTCTCAGAGGGGAGTGAATCTATGGAATTCTTTACCACAGAGGACTGTTGAGGCTGGGTCATTAAGTATATTCAAGGCTGAGATAGACAGATGTTTAATCAGCAAAGTGGAGCTGAGGATGATCAGATCAGCCATGATATTGTTGAATGGCACAGTAGACTTGATGGGCTGAATGGCCTACTTCATCTCCTACATCTTATGGTCTTATAGAGCTCAGAGAGGCACTGTAATGTTAAAACAGCTAGTTGACATCACACTCTAGCACAAGTCTCCATCTTACTCTGTACATTCTGTTAGTAGACAGCAAACTAGTTAGTCAGTCAACTATGTTTGCAATATTAAAGTAATCGAAGTAAGCATCTAATCCGATTTTGTGGTGTAATGGTAAAGGTCCCTACCTCTGGACCAGAAGGTCTGGGTTTAAAGCCCACTTGCTCCTGAGCTGTGCCACAATATCTATGAACATCTTGGTTTTAATAAAAGTGTCCACTTTATGTTGGGGAACATAGTAAATCTGTACAGTTGAAAGCAAGAGAAAGGGACAATGATAGATAAAGTGAGCAGGCAAAACTGTGACAGTTCAAGCTATAACGCAGGCTGTATATGTAAGTCTGCAATGTCATATTTGTATACATCGTTGTCAATAAACTTCCAGATATCTGACTCAGTAAGATCCCAACTCCATGCTTTATTGTTACATGGGCTACCACATAGAAAACTATAAAAAGCACATCATAGCCCTACACCAGTGAGGAACAGTGATTTGAGCTCACTGAAGGCTGGAGTTGTATTTGTCATCATCATACGCCAATCATCGTAACGTAGCCTGGGAACAACTTAACACGTTTATGAAGCGACTATTCCTGAGTTTTGCCCAGGATTTTGCTCCAACTTCTGGACAGAACAACACTGAATCTTACTTTTGTTTCACTTATCTTCTCTTACTTTTGCCATGAATGGGAGGGGACGGAATGTTGCTGCCAGGTTAAGTCTTTGAGTGGCTCAGCTTCGGATTTTGCCTCCACCTCTCCTAAGAGGCCTTCCTCTGACAGAGAACATAGAAAATTGGGAATAACGGATGCAAAAACCTGCCTTTTCTGTGCCGTATGTTGGAAGGCTGATACACTGCTCATTTCTTGTCAATCTTCATGTATTGCCACCACATGCCAATGAGTTGTGCCTTCTCGCCTCCCCAAGAGCCGACACTTGGCGCTGAGGTGCGTCGCAGAGCGAGGCTGCTGGGAGAGGGGTTGACAAACATGACACCGCTTACCATCCATCGAATTCCCCCCAACCCCAAACATTGCTCAGCCTACACCCAGCATTCCATATCAAACCTGGACCGAATTCTCAATGAACTGCGGAATTCGGGACCGCCACGTCTCCCAACGGATTATTTCTCCAGCAAAACGCAGTCAGTGAAGGATAGTGACAAAATACAAATGCTGTTTGTAAAAGCGATCCTGCTAACGGGCAAAAGTGGCAAGCAGGGTCACTGGGGAATGACCCAAACATCACTGTTCTGGCTCAGAGAGACATTTAAAGGCTGCCTGTCATGATGGCTCACTCAGGGTGGGGTGGGGGTGGAGGAACAGAGACGGGGCTAACTTTGACAGGGGATACTCAGATTCCCTGTTTTTTTTTAATCATTCTGTCCTCTGGGGGACTTCCACCCCAAGTTGGAGCAACTTGGGACAGTTCCTGGAGAAATGTCTTGATCCATCTGATTTGTAATGAGTCCTAGACCAGCTGTGAAATTGTATAGAGTACCCACTCTAACAACAGGCTGTCTGCTGTTGACTCTTATCCAGTGACACACACCACTGTCACCTCCCCACTACCAGGCAGCGGGCACAGGGTGAAAAGTGGAGGGGCTCAACAGTTGTGGATGAATTGTCCAGGCTCACGTGTGAATAATATCACCTCGAACTCAGAACCAGGGGCAAACACTGCAGCTGTAACACGATATCCTGCATTCTGTTCTATTACCCTGAGGTACTTATGTATGGTATGATTGATCTGGTTAGCACGCAAAACAATATTTTTCACTGTATCTGGATACATGACAATAATAAATCAAATCAAACACCATGGAACCCACAATCTTCAGCTCGGGTCACAAAACAAGGAAACAGTTTTAAATAAGGATGAATCATTTGTTAGAGTGAGCACTGTGCGATTTCAGGACTAGCCAGTCATCAGGGTCTAAGCTGGGTCCTCTTGACAGTCCACTATGTATTGTGTTAACCCATGCTGGTCTCAGTGTGTGTATTTTACATCTTCCAGTGCAGCTCGAGACAGACGGACACCAGGCTTTTTTTGTCATCAAAATCCGGCATGCCACCATCCCAAAACTATACAGCTCTGAAGACCAGCCAGGTCAGTGCCTTTAATCCAGGACTAACGGATGTCTCCTGTATAAATCCCACAATAGAACCAGCCACAAAGCACCTTGTGTAGAGTAGAGCCTGTAGCTTTAGTGGCAGGCTAGCTTTTAATGCCACCTCCGAATGACGTGGGTTCCCTGTTATTTTCCAAGTGTCGATTGGCGAAGGGTCAATTTGGTTTCGGATGCCATTCCTCCAGCAGAATTCCGCGCTTTTATTTTCCCATCGCATCTGCTCCTGAGGCCGCAACGCTACTGCATCGTTCCTGGGTGGGAGGTGAGGCATAAAAAAGGATTCGACCGCTTTCTGAGCGAGACATTGCTGGTTTCATGTGCGCAATGGCGCCAATTTTACTTAAAGCGCTCAAAAAGGAAAGCTTGCAATGCCTGTTCGCACTGTTGCAGAGTTTAAATTTGTGAGAAGCATTTTATTCTCCAGCCCCTCTTTGCCAGTGCCCTGCTCTCTGATACTGCTTGCTCGTGCCATGTGCCCTCTGGGTCAACATTCCTGCGCCAGTGTCCTTCTGTCGCCAACTGCTAATGCCAGGGGCAGCTCTGCCCTCTTGCCCCACTTCCTGCTGGGATCAGTGGCAAGTGCATCCCTGCTTTCAAGAGGAACGTGGCCTTGGTATAGCACCTAACCTGAGTTCCGAAACATTGCAAAGTCTTCAATTGTGCTAAATTGCTCATTGATGTGTGCAATCCAGAGACCCAAGCTAATTTTCTGGGGACATGGGTTCAAATCCCACCGTGGACAATGGTGAAATTTGAATCAAATAAAATAGCGAATAAAGAACTGGTTTAATGGTGGCCATTGTTAATTGTTGTATAAAAACCATCTGGTTCACTAATGCCCTTGGCGAATATTTAGAGAAGGGAATCTGCCATCCTTACCCAGTCTGGGCCTACACATGCCTCCAGACCCATAGCCAATGTGATTGATCCTTAACCATCCTCTGAAATGGCCCTGGCAAGGCACTCAGTTCAGGGGGTAGTTAGGGCAATAACTGCTGGCCTGGCTAGTGATACCCATATCCCTTTCGAAAAAAAAGGAGAAAAATCCTTAATATAATGAACAGACGTGTTGGCAAATTTCCTTAGAAATAGCATCCGGTGGGGGGGAAAGGAAATCTTTCCTCCTGATGGTGTTGCCAACTCCTTCAGGATTGCCCCGGAGTCACCGGGATTTGCAGATTAATTTCCTGTCGGGAGCAAAACCCAGGAGAAAAATCATAGGAACAGTGATTTTGCCCCCCGCCCAAATTAAAAACAAAAGACTTTTATCTGTTACGTCCCTGAGGTAGCAAACAAAAAGGTGCTGTTTGAGCTGGGAAGTTAAAGGTAAGGTGCATCCTCCAAGACTACGGCCAACCAGAGGGTTGGATGGATAAAAAATCCCTTTGAATTTTCAGATAAACCACAGGATTTCACTTGATGTGAAAACCTCATATAAAACAATGACATTTAGAATCTGGTTCTGTATGGTTAAGTGTAAACCAGCAAAAGCACGTTGACCATTCGGAACATGGTGAGCTGCCATCTTGAACCGCGGCAGTCCATGTGCTGTAGGTGGACCCACAATGCTGTGAGGGAGGGAATTCCAGGATTTTTGATCCAAAATGCACAAGGATTTCAAGGCTACAATTTTCTTGCTCAAACTCTACCTGAACAGATGGCACAGTGGAGCAGTGGCTCAGTGGTTAGCACTGCTGCCTCACAGTGCCAGGGACCTGTGTTTGATTCCAGCCTCAGGTGACTGTCTGTGTGGAGTTTGCACATTCTCCCCGTGTCTGCCTGGGATTCCTCTGGGTGCTCCGGTTTTGTCCCACAGTCCAAACCTGTGCAGGTTAGGGTGGATTGGCCGTGAGAAATTGTCCCATAGTGTCCAGGGATGTGCAGGTTAGGGTGTGTTAGCCGTGGGAAATGCGGGGGGGTTATAGGGTCTGAGTGGGATACTTTTCAGAGGTCAGTGCAGACTCGATGGGCTGAATGGCCTCTTTCCACACTATAGGGATTTTATGATTCAGGCAGTTTAACAAAGTCAGATAGTATGGCTGCTGGAGGAAACTTAGGCAGCATCTGTAGAGACAAGTGTTTAGTGTTTTGAGTCCGGTCTGACTTTTCTTCAGATGCTGCCAGACCCTGCTGAGTTTCTCTGGGCAGTTTGACTCTCTATTGAAACAAGAGTTGCAACCTTGTGGGCTGGGCTGGGGGGTTGGCTTAACCTTAAAAGCAAGGCTCATGATTTCAGGATGTCCCTAGGGCAAATATGGTCACTGTTTGGAAATGCAGGAGGCATAGCAACAAACGTGTACATGAGAAGCGCCCACCAACAACAACATGGAGATCCGATCGTCTGTTTTTGTGATGTTGATTGAGGGATAAATATTGGCCTGGGAAAACTCCCTCATTCTTCTTTGATCTAATGCCATAAGATCTTTTGTTCATAACATCATATCCAACTGTGCAGCACTGTGTCAGTCTCCTAATGCAAATGGCTGCCAAGACATGCTCAAAGTAGTGGCAGATGCTAAGCTGACAAACTGGCAAAGCCAGTTCGGGAGCGGTGGAACGCAGGTTTTCAAGAGAAAGAAGTCTCAATCAGACCATCCAGGGGAGTGCGTCATTGGGGTCAAGGGTGAGCAAAGGCCAGGCTTCTGGCCTGCAGCAATCACTGATATGGTCCTGCCCATTGCCAGCTGCATAGTGCAACCTGAGAAACTTCTCACTGAGACAACAAGGTGCAGAGCTGGATGAACACAGCAGGCCAAGCAGCATCATAGGAGCAGAAAGACTGACGTTTCAGGCCTAGACCCTTCATCAGAAATGGGGGAGGGGAAGGGGGTTCTGAAATAAATAGGGAGAGAGGGGGAGGCGGATAGAAGATGGATAGAGGAGAGGATAGGTGGAGAGGAAACAGGTCGAAGAGGCGGGGATGGAGCCAGTAAAGGTGAGTGTAGGTGGGGAGTTAGGGAGGGGATAGGTCAGTCCAGGGAGGACGGACAGGTCAAGAGGGCGGGATGAGGTTAGTAGGTTTGGGATGGGGGTAGGGGGAGGGGAGATTTTGAAGCTTTTTCTCACTGAATTCATTGTCGGCCCACCTTCCTCTTTAAGAACACCTCAAACAACAGAGAGAGAGAAATGCTAGATTTGAAACAAAAAAACAGAGATCTGAAGAGAGGAACTAGAAGGAAGAAGAAAGTAGGCAGCACAGTGGGTCAGTGGTTAACACCTCTGCCACACAGCGCTAGGGACCTGGGTTTGATTCCAACCTCGTGTCAGTGTGGAGTTTGCACATTCTTCCTGTGTCTATGTGGGTTTGCTCCGATTTCCTCCCGCAGTCTAAAGATGTGATGGTTAGGTAGACTAGTAATAACGATATCCTCTTTTAACACAAGAGTGAGCAGTGACCTAATTTAATTGAGAGCTATCTTATGTGTCTGAAAGGCCTCCTCCTGTGCTGTGCTCAGGATGATGGGGCAGATCGGAAATATTTACACCCCTTGTTGAGAAAAGAGTGCATTATGTGTATCGATATATTTGACACTAGTTTCAAAGGAAAGGTGGTCACAAATTGTTCTCTGTGTGTTCTAGGCTATAACATCAGTGCCTTGGTGACTATAGCAACCAAGACATTTCTGAGGTATGACAAGCTGAGGGAACTGATCTCGAGCGTTAGGAAATATTACCCCAATGTCACCATTGTCATCGCGGATGACAGCGACAAACCACAAAAGATTGAAGGAGACTTCATTGAGCAGTACTTCATGCCATTTGGGAAGGTGCAGTATGTTTTCTTTTACTACAAAATGAAAGAAGCAAGCAAGACAGTTGATATACACATTGTGTGGTAACATGGCGAATGCAGTGCGCAATTTAGAAATGACTCAGTAAAATGAATCAGAGCAGGCCTGTGTTAGGGGAGGTGATGGCCTAGAGGTATTGTCACTGGACCCAATAACGTAGAGACACCAGGTAATGTCCTTGGGACCTGGTTCAAATCCTGCCATGGCAGTTGGTGAAATTTGAACTCAATAATAATCTGGAATTAAGACTCTAATGATATCCATGAAACCATTGTCAATTGTCAAGAAGAGCCCTTCTGGTTCACTGCTGTGAAGGAAGCTACCATCCTTACCTGGCCTGGCCTACATGTGACTCCAGACCCACAGCAATGTGGTTGACTCTTAACTGTCCTCTGGGCAATTAGGGATGGGCAATAAATGCTGCCTAGCCAGTGGCACCCACATCCTGGGACTGAATAAAAAACAATGTAGATTTTCAGAGTGCTTCAAGGTAATAGCAGCCTATAAAACAAGAGCACGAAATATGGCCTTTATGCAGCAGTCCCTCATGAGTTGAGTTCCCTGATCACTCTAGGTGGCACGGTGGCTCAGTGGTTAGCACTGCTGCCTCACAGCGCCAGGGACCCAGGCTTGATTCCACCCTCGGGCGACTGTCTGTGTGGAGTTTGCACATTCTCCCTGTGTCTGCGTGAGTTTCCTCCGGGTGCTCCGGTTTCCTCCCACAGTCCAAAGATGTGCAGGTTAGGTGGATTGGCCGTGGGAGATAGTTACAGGTTTAGGATGGGCCTGGGTGGGATGCTGTTCGAAGGGTGGGTTTGGACTTGATGGGCCGAGTGGCCTGCTTCCACACTGTAAGGATTCTATGATCTCGGTGACCTCCAACGAAAGGAAGGCTCAGTCAACTTGACATCCGACTGGTCAGTTTGAAAGTTCTGCGAAGCGACTTTCTCCCTGATACCTTAGGCTGGTAAACGATGAGGTAAGAGAAGGGTCCTAGATGCTGCAGTGTGTACAAAATAAAAGTAGGAGCGTACAAAATTAATTCAGAAGGGCGTTTACTGTTACACACTGTTCAGAAAACGGGGGTAAGGCTCAACAGGTCTCCAATGTTTTCCTGGTGGTAGGAAGGAGTAGGTGAAGAGAAGGAATGACACAGTCATAGAGCTGTACAGCATGGAAACAGACCCTTCAGTCCAACTCGTCCGTGCTAACCAGATAAATTAATCTGGTCCCATTTGCCAGCATTTGGCCCATATCCCTCTTAAACCCTTTCTATTCATGTCCCCATTCTATTCATGTTGTAATTGTACCAGCCTCCACCACTTCCTCTGGCAGCTCATTCCATACACGCACAACCCTCTGTGTAAAAAAAATTGCCCCTCAGGTCTCTTTTAAATCATTCCCCTCTCACCTTAAACCTATGCCCCTCTAGTTTTGGATTCCCCTATCCTGGGGAAAAGACCTTGGCTATTCACCCTATCCATGCCCCTCATGACTTTATAAGCCTTTATAAGGTCACCCCTCAGCCTCCAACGCTCCGTGGAAAATAGCCCCAGCCTGTTCAGCCTCTCCCTAAAGCTCAAACCCTGTCAATGTGCGACTGGTGGAATATTCTCAAGCTTTCATGCTGAAGTTCATATTGTGCACTCATATTCACAACCCAGTACTAAGGAAAACAAAAACCCTGGGGCCCAAAATTAGCATTTCTGAGAATATTCATCCACAAATATATTAACTGCATTGTCCTGGATACTATAGCTGTTTCTGACACCGTAGAAAGGTTACAGCACAGAAAGAGGCCATTCAGCCCATCATGTTTGTATGGTTGAATATACTAGCCATCCACTCTAACCCCACTTTCCAGCCCTTGCTCTGTAACCCTGCTGGTTCCAGTGCTTCAGGGGCAAGTCCAGGTTCCTTTGAAATGAGTTGAGGGTTTCTGTCTCCACCACCAAACTATTACATGAAAATTGCTGCCTAAAAGCAAGTTATTACGGATATCGCTTTGAGATCACTGTATGGCAATATTTCTGTCCTTATTTATTGGACTTTCAGTTACGTTGAATCTGGGCAGAGACCATGATTTTCAAGGACCTGGGATTATGTTTCCTGTGAAGTGCTTGTTGTTCAGCTTTGCAATTACCTCGGCCCTTTGCAACATTTTCCGCTCTAATCAATCAGTGATGCATTGCATTTGAATTCCCTTGGTAGCCTCCATCACAGAAGGCCTGTCAATAACACAAAAATTTATGAGTAAATCTACTCAAACTAAGTTAATATTGGAGATAAAGGCAGCAGAACAAATGTTGCCTTTATCTTGATCTGGGTAAAGGTTAACAACCCCACTAAGTGAGCCACAGTGACTGTGCCAAAAAAATGATGTCATCCATTCTTCACTACACCTCTTCAATCCTGTTCCCAATTACAAACTGATTCGAAGAAAGTGAGGTGGGGGTGTCAAGGAAAGGAATCGCTAGGATCAAACGGAATTCCTGTTTTTTTTTGAACGAAGGTAGATGTTTAGCGAGCAAATGTAACAAGAGCTTTTGCGTAGCTGTTGTGTGTTCCATGGAATCTGATCGATGCCTGATCTTTACAGGGTTGGTTTGCTGGGCGGAACTTGGCCATTTCCCAAGTCACAACGAAATATCTGCTCTGGGTCGATGATGACTTCATTTTTACCGCAAACACTAAGCTTGAAAAGCTGGTGAACATTCTAGAGAAGACAACACTGGATTTGGTAAGAGGGCCACACCTATCTCGGTATTGCCCAGCAGGAAAGCTTTAATGTTTTCGCTGACTGTAAAATAAATCTGTTACTGGGCATGGTGTAATCCCATGTTGCTATCCATTCGGTAGCTTTCTGCTTTCAGAACAGTGTCAGTTACATGTCTGCAATTGCCCATAGTACTGAATGCCATCTAACTGGCATCTACTGGTGACATCTCCTTTCTTGCCCATCTGGGACCACCCTAATTTCCATGATCTAGTACCACGCATACCTGCTGCTCCATCAACTGAAATCTTTCGTTGAAAAAGGACCTATTGTTTCAATTAATGAAATGGGTGCAATTATTGCAGAGAATGTGGTCAAAATACAAATTAGGCAAAAGAGGAAGTAGTCACTGGAATAATAATGATTTGTTTAACACGGCTTTGATCTGCAACCTACAGTCACTTCACATTAAATAACATATTATTCACACAAGCTCAGATATAGCCTTACCGACTTGGTCTTATTAAACCCAGTATGGGTGGGGGGGGGGTTCCTGAGGTGAGTCTACACACTGGTTTGCTTGCCTTTTCCACAGCATTCCTGACCCTTGCCCATATTCTCTTCCTTGCCAACTCCCTGCAGGTTGGCGTACCTTGGTTTCAATGTGGATGAGTGACCCTGGTGCATGATCTTTATTCTCGATGGGGATGATTTGAAGTCATGGACCAGGCTTTACCGAACCGTTTCCAGGCTACAAATAGACGCCTTTATTCCTGCTGCATGCTGAAGGATAGATTCAACAAGCTCTCAGCCAAGCGATAGAACTCAAAGCTGCAATGATCAATGACACTGAGACAGCATTTAGCTGATGTTCCAATCTGCCTTCTTTCTAAATGTGGCTCCCCACTGGAAGCATCAGATTGACCCTTAAGTATCTCTGAAGAAAGACCACCAAAAGACAGAATCTTAAGAACAAGGTAGAAAGGAAACAAAGTTAAAAGTTAAACATTGCAGTAATTATAGTACAGTGATACCTTCTTAGTTTTCAGTAGAAAATAAAGAAATAAAGCTGAAAGTTCAAACGTTACAGCCTTTCTTAAGTGCTTAGCCACAGTGGGACTGCACTTCGAGGAATCACCTCGAAACCGGAAGTCCACGCTAAGGCCATGCCAAGCTGAGAGACTGCCATGTACTGCCGAAAAGCCTCCAATGCCAGGCCGAGGGATTGCCACCCCAGGCTGAGAGCCTGCCACGCTGGGCCACTGAGAGATCGTCATGCCAGGCCTGGCTGGCACTCATCCAGGTCTCAGCTTCCTCTGTCCTCGTGCCCATTTGAAACTCTCACTCTTGACCATGTGCCCCACCCTTCAAGCTCATTGCCAAGGTACCCTTCTGCCCTCAGTAAGTTGTTACTCCAAGTCACTTGGCACTATACCTCCTTCTTCAAATGTTTTGACCCATCTTGCTTCCCCAAACCTCCAAATAAACACCCTGACTCAGATTTCATTACGAAACAAGACCTCAGCACCTTGAAGATTTAGTTCACCAACCAGGTTGTCGCTCCGATTCTTCCCAATTTTATCTTGTACATGGCAGTGACGAGACCGGAGCAGATAAGCCAGTCTGTGTTGGTCCACACAACAAGTAGTCCTAATCCCAGACACCTACCTTTTCTCATTCCCATTCCCCCCAACCAGCTCACTAACCTACACTCGACCGTTTCCATGGTTTCTGCTTCGATCACTAATTCAGAGGGAATGCTGCACCCTCATGTTCCTGTGTAGAAATGTTTCTCTCACTCTCTTTTCTAAAGCTGTTATGTTTAATAACTCAGTGCCCTTATTCAAGAACCCCTCAATCGTTGTGCATAGTTCCACCCTTCTCAACTTGAACGCATCTATCACTCCTCAGATACTTCTCGCTGTCCTCACAAAACAGCCTCGATTTCTCAAATATTTGTATCCTCTTCAGAGCTGGCACTATCCAAATGGATCCGTGACCTTACCAGTTCTGAGGAAGGTTCACCGGACTCAAAACGTTAACTTTGATTTCTCTTCACAGATGCTGCCAGACCTGCTGTGTTTTTGCAGCACTTTCTGTTTTGTTTCCACGCCCAACCCTAATCATTGCCTCAACAATTGTCCTGTTGTGCAAAGCCCGGAACAGCATGCAGTGCTCCAGCTATGGTCTAAGTAAGGTTGATATGGATTCACCATTACATTTTGCCTGAGAAAGGATATTCTGTAACGCTTGGCTTTAAATTTCTAATTTCATTTTTTTTGGTTCTTATCCACTTGGGGTGTTGTTTTCAGTGTCTGACTGCCCTGAACCCCCAATCTGTTTTTTCCACATTACCCAATTTTTTCCATTCGATAATCATATCAATATTCCCCACTGCTTCCTTTGTTCCACAGAATTAGTTACCCTGCAATCAGGATGACCGTTATTTTAGATGTATTCATATGTGGCATGTGGGTACCACTGGTTAGGCCAGCATTTCTTGCCTGTCTTTTGTTGCCCTGGAGAAGGTGGTAGTGAGCTGCCTTCTTGAACCACTGCACAATGCCCTTAGGGAGGGAATTCCGGGATTTTGACCCAGTGACAGTGAAGGAACGGCGATATATTTCCAAGTCAGGATGGTGAGTGGCTTGGAGGGGAACTTGCAGGGGGTGGTGTTCCCATGTATCTGCTGCCCTTGTCCTTCTAGATGGAAGTGGTCATGGGTTTGGAAGATGCTGTCTGAGAATCTTTGGTGAATTTCTGCAGTGCATCTTGTAGATAGTACACACTGCTGCTACTGAGCGTCGGTGGTGGAGGGAGTGGATGTTTGTGGATGTGGTGCCAATCAAGCGGCTGCTTTGTCCTGGATGGTGCCAAGCTTCTTGAGTGTTGTTGGGGCTGCATCCATCCAGGCAAGTGGGGAGTATTCCATCATACTCCTGACGTGTGCTTTGTAGATGGTGGGACAGGCTTTGGGGAGTCAGGAGGTGAGCTACTCGCTGCAGGATTCCCAGCTTGTAACTTGCTCTTGTAGCCACTGTGTTTATGTGGTGAGTCCAGTTGAGTTTCTGGTCAATGGTAACCCCCAGAATGTTGATAGTGGGGGATTCAGTGAGTATAACACCATTGGTGATGGTCAGAGCCTGGCATTTGTATGACATGAATGTTACTTGTCAGTTGACAGTATCCGAGGAGTCACGAATGGTGCTGAACATTGTGCAATCATCAGCGACCATCCCCACTTCTGACCGGAAATATATTTAGCCTTATTGCAATCTGATTGATGTACATAGGGTAATGAAATGGCTCTGAAAACAGAACTCTATGAAATATTGTTATCCATTTCGAACTGTTCTAAGAAACTGTCCTTCATTCTTAACTCTCCATTTCGTCCCTTTTATCAAGTTCATATGTCCAATTTCCTAACTGTTTACTTCATTCTGTATCTCTTCATCTTCATAGATCATAGAATGTCTACAGTGTGGAAACAGGCCCTTCGGCCCAACAAGTCCACACCAACCCTCAGAGCATCCCACCCAGACCCATTCCCCTTTAACCCACCTAATCTACACATCCCTGAACACTATGGGCAATTTTTAGTATTTCCAATCCACCAAACCCGCTCATCTTTGGACTTGTGGGAGGAAACCAGAGCACCCGGAGGAAACCCATGCAGACACGGGGAGAATGTGCAAACTCCACACAGACAGTCGCCCAAGGGTGGGATCGAACCCAGGTCCCTGGCGCTGTGAGGCAGCAGTGCTAACCATTGAGCCCTATTGTCAATTGTCTCCTGTGTTATACCTTCTTGAAGTTATTCTAAAAGATTGACATTGGAGGCAGCCCAGAGAAGATTCACTCGGCTGATCCCGGGTATGGAGGGACTGTCTTATGAGGAGGGGTTGAGTAGGTTGGGCCTGTACTCATTGGGGTTTAGGAGAATGAGAGACGGCCTTATTGGAACGTAGACATCTCTTAGATGACTTCACAGGGTAGATACAGAAAAGGTAATTTATTTACTCTTGTGGGAGATTCTATGAGCAGGGGGCATCACCTCAGAATAAGGCGACACACAAATAAGGCAGATGAAGAGGGAAGTGAATCTGTGGAATTAGTTACCATCGAGGGCTGTCGAGGCTGTGATAGACAGATTTTGAATCAGTGAATCAAGGGTTATGGAGAAAAGGCAGGAAATTGGAATTGAGGATTCTCAAATCAGCCACAATTTCATCAAATGGCAGAATTGAGTTGATGGGCTGAATGGCCCACTTCTGCTTCTAGGTCTTCTCGAATCCCTACTGCCTGGAAGCAGGCCAATCAGCCCATCAAGTCCAGACTGACCCACCGAAGAGCACCCCACCCAAACCCAACCCCCCACTAACCCTATCCCTGCATTCTCCCATGGCTATCCCACCTAACCTGCACATCCCTGGACACTATGGGCAGTTTAGCATGGCCAATACACACTAACCTGCACATCTTTGGACTGTGGGAGGAAACCGGTGCATCCAGAGGAAACCCACGCAGACACAGGGAGAATGTCTGTGTGGAGTTTGCACAGTTGCCTGAGGCTGGAATCAAACCCAATTCCATGGTGCTAAGAGGCAGCAGTGCTAACCACTGAGCCATTGTGCCGCCCATGGTCTTACAGATTCATGGGAAATGCATGTGTTCCACATCACCACATCTGTTACCTCCTCAAAGAATCTATTGGGTTTGTCAAACATGATCGGCCTTTACAGAAATCCATGTTGGCTGCTTCTCATTATTTTCTCTACATTAGTTTTATTCTTTTCTGAAGGTGGATATTGTATTGGCATCTTCCAGCGCACACTAACCCTCTACAGACCCCAGAAAATCCATTTCCCTGGCTTATGCCATTTCCCTTAGCATCCTTGAATGTACTTCATCAGGCCTTGGGCTGGACAAACCCCTCTGTCATACTCTTCTTGTTTATCCTCACATCTCTTGTCATGTTTTCATTCAATTTACAATTTACCTTGTACCCAGTGACCTTCACTTTTGTAAACACTGAAGTATCACCCTTTTCAATGTGTTCACCCACATTTACTTCATTGACTTTGCTCAGAGTGAGATCTTTTGCACTTGTAAGCTTGTGAATGTGATGCTTGAGGAAGGACGCCAACAATAATATGTTGCAGGAATTTCCTTCCTTTTCAGATCGTTTACTCCCCGTCTCAAACAATGATTGGATCACAAAAATCTCCACCAATAAGCTTTTTGTCATTCTGACTCACCTCACCGATCTCAGTTGGAAGGTCAGCAGTGTCCCACAGGGCAGCGTTTTCTCAATATATATTTAATTTTGAACCTTGTTCTGAATCTTTTCATCAATGCCAATGTCTCTCGTAGAGCTGATATTCCTTCCTTAGCTATAGTTTCTCACAATGTATGTCAGCTGCATCAAATTCAACTCAGTCATAAGGCCCACTGTCTCAAACTCTTTTCAGTCTTCCAAATTAAGTCCTGACTATTCACCCTCTGCCTCTTGAACCCAAAATACATTGGTAGCCTCTCTGTGTCCTCCACATTCCCTAACCTGTTTCAAAAACCAGTATGTTCTCCGCTCTCCTCTCCTCCACATGCTGCCTACATTTAGTCACCAATCAATTTTGAGTGCCCATTGAGCTGTCAAATCATCGAATCCACGGCAGGGAGCCCTTTTGCCCATCATGTGTGTGCCAACCTACTTGAATCAAAAAGATCGAGCTAGACAAGACTTTTGTTGCTTACGCCCACTTGTTCACTCAGTTGGCCATCGCCACAATTGGTGCCAGGCTCTGCCTTCTAAATCTGTTTCCAACTCTTCCACAACATTGGCACACTATCCCTACAGGGTGGAAGCAGGCCATTCAGCCCATCGAGTCCACACCGGCCCTCTGAAGAGCATCCCACCCTATCCCTGGGACCCCACATTCCCCATGGCTGACCACCTAGCCTGCACATCCCTGGGCACTATGGGGCAATTTAGCATGGCCAATCCACCCTAACCTGCACATCTTTGGACTGTGGGAGGTAACCGGAGTACCCAGAGGAAACCCATGCAGACACGGGGAGAATGTGCAAACTCCACACAGACAGTCACCCCAAGGGTGGAATCAAACACAGGTCCCTGGCGCTGTGAGGCAGCAGTGCTAACCACTGAGCCACCGTGGGCACAATTCATTGGCTGCCAGCTGTATTGTGCCACCTGCAAACACGGGGGTTCAATCAAAAAACATCCAAATGAGGAGCCACTGATCTGTGATGGCACCATGGTTTTGAAGACGTGCTCTATTTTGGAATTAGGGGGACCCTTTCATTCCTCCATATTCTGGCATTAATGTTACGTCCTCTACAGCACTGAATTCACACCTCCGGGTAAATCTATCATGGTAACGTGAGTTTTTAATCGTCATGATCCATTGTTCTTTAATGCTAGCAGGCTTCGGCCCATTCCGTTTACTGGGCCCCAGGGCTGATTGTGCAACTGCCCAGACTTCTAGCATCCTGCTCTTGTGTTCCGCTGTAGGTTGGAGGGGCGGTGCGAGAGAAAACAGGGTTTGCCACCACTTTCCGCCACCAAATCAGTGTGGAGCAAGGAGGAGAGGAGGGCGACTGCTTGCACACCCGCATGGGCCACTACCACGTCCTGCGGGGCTTTCCAAACTGCGTGGTGACGGACGGCGTAGTCAATTTCTTCCTGGCCCGCACAGACAAGGTGCAACGGGTGGGCTTTGACCCTCGGCTGACTCGGGTAGCGCATTCAGGTGAGCGAGCGTCCTCCTTGGCACAGAGCAGTCACCAAAAAGTCAGGATTGCCCCAGGCTCTCCAGGGATTGAAAGACATTGCGAGGAACAGTCCTGGAGAGAACAACAACTTTCCCATCTGATCAAGATGTAATTTTTGATAACCTTCCTCGCTATCAATGCTACCTCCTAATTTTGTACCATCTGCAAACTTACTAATCATGCCTTGTACATTCACATCCAGATCATTTATATAAATAACAAATAACAAAGGCCCCACCACCAACCCCTGTGGCACACCACTAGTCAGGCCTCCAGTCCAAGAAACAATCTTTAACCATCACCCTCTGCTTCCTACCATCGAACCAATTTTGAATCCAATTAGCTCGGTTTCCCTGGATCCCATGTGACCTAACCTTCATGACTAGCCTGCTCTGCGGGACTTTGTCAAAGGCCTCACTAAAGTCCATATATACAACATCCACTGCCCTAACCTCACCCATCCTCTTGGTTACCTCTTCGAAAAACTCTAAAAGATTTGTCAAACATGACTTCCCGTGTGCAAATCCATGTTGACTATCCCTAATCAGGGATAGTCAGCACGGGTCTATTTCCGTGCTGTACAACGCTGTGACTCTAAGTCATGTGATAAAGCCTCCACTTACAAGCATGATGTTCGGTCATGGATAGTGTAAGGTGACATCAGTTACCAACCTATTCACCCATTGTGGTTGTCCTTGCCGACTGACATTCACTTCCTAATCAAATTCCCACCCTTGTTCATCCATAGCCTCACACTGGTCGAGCTCAGTTTTCTCCTCCAGACCCATAATTCTCTGAAATCTTGGCGCCACTCCACTTCTGGCACCTTAAGTGCCCCCAGTGGTCACCATTGATGGCTGTGCCTTCAGCTGCTGAGGTCCCAAACTCTGGGATTCACTCCCTAAACCTCTGCCTCCTTTAAGATACGCCTTAATACTTCTGTCTTAAACCAGGCTTTTGGTCACCTGTCCTATAATTTATTTTAATCAACCTGTCTGGACGTGTTATGATGCACCTCTGAGACAGAGGAAGCGGGAAAGGCAGCCACTGGAATTAGCTAATAGCTGCCTGTTAAAGATCCCAACAGGTTAATTGTCCCCTGTGTCCTGGTCACCATTTATCTCTGAATTAACACTGAAAGCACCCAATCCCCATGTTACTTGTGAGGGTTTTGTGAGCACTGGTCAGCTGCTGCATTTCCTCAGTGCAGTTCACAAGTGCTCTGTTACCTGGGGGAGGTGAAGGCCTAGTGGCATTATCGCTTTTAATCCAGAGACCCAAGTAATGTTCTGGGAACCCAGGTTCAAATCTCACCATGGCAGATGGTGGAGTTTCAATTCAATAAAAAATCTGGAATTAAGAGTCTAATGATGACCATGAATCCGTTGTTGGAAAAACCCATCTGGTTCACTGATGCCCTTTAGGGAAGGAAACTGCTGCACTTGCCCAGTCTGACCTCCATGTAACATGAGGCCCACAGCAGTGTGGTTGCCTCTTTACTGCTCTCTGGACAATTACGATGGGCAATTTATGCTGACCTAGCCAGCAACACCCTCATCCCATGAATGATTATAAAAAAAACACACTCACTTTCTAGCAGGGGTCATTAGAGTATGATCAGAATTGGATAACATAGCCAATTCCCTTCACATCCCACCCTGCCCCCTCCCTTTATGGGGATAGCCTTCCCATCAACATCTCTTAAAGGGAGAGTGCCAATTCAAGACCCCCAAGGAATCAAGCCAGAAGAAAATGACTTGGATAGTCATAAACTAAACAAAACCTTCTCTTGTTTATTTTAATTGCCATGCACTCAAAACCCTGGCCCTTCTAACAATCTTTAGGACAGTCCTCATAAATATAGCACAGTAACCTCTTCTCATCCATCAGCCAAAGTGGTTTGAAGGGCCTGATATTGACGATTCGGTGTGGCAATGTTGACGATTCAGTGTGGCAGTGTTGACGATTCAGTGTGGCACTGTTGAGGATTCGGTGTGGCACTGTTGAGGATTCGGTGTGGCACTGTTGACGATTCGGTGTGGCACCATTTTATTGTTCCTGTGTTCCAACACGAGTTAACTCGTTGTAGCAATGATGTATGCTAAATCGCGTTAATGGCTGTACCTTGTGTTTTCTTTTGGCAGAGTTTTTTATTGATGGACTGGGCATTCTCCATGTTGGCTCTTGTGATGATGTCACTGTGGACCACGCCACCAAGATCAAACTGCCCTGGAGCAGTGTTGATGAAAACGAGAAAACCTACAAAGAATTCCGGTACCCCAAGTCATCCGAGGCAAACGTCCAGCTGAAACACAGGCTGTTTTACTTGAAAAACAGATTTAAGTGTATGGTAAAGGACTAAAGGGACTGGCAACAAGGGGGAAGAGAAAAAAACTTCAAAACAAATCTTTAATGACATGCCCAAAGCAGAGAGAGATGGGAACTCATCACAAATTGAACAAAACACATTGATGTGTAGGATTAGGGCCTGAATTTCACATAACAGTAGGAACTGCTACTCATTCCATCGTGTCATTGGAGAACTCTCAGACTAGCTGGGTGTTTAGAATGTAAAATGATTTGTCCATGAAGGCTGCTAAAAGAAAAATGCAATTCCAGAACAGGCAAGTGAGAAATCTCCCTTAAATGGCTGAATTGTAAAAGTGTTTGCATTCCAAGTACCTTTCTGAGTTTCAAGACTGAGAATTGCCTGCGAAGAGTAATATTCTGCAATCACTCTGTTACCTCAAACAAGACCCTACCTGTACCCGATACAGCTGCAGTATGAGTCTGCCTCCCTTTTCGAAATTTAACCACACAGCTGACTCTAATAATGTTGATGCAGCTACAGTTGATTGATGATCTAGTTGTCCTTTCATCTGATTTAGTGTCTAGCTGATTAATGCCAATTGCTCCTGTAATCAAATGTTCAAAATCCTGTAATAACTGGCTAAAGTATTGAGTCAAAAAACGAATTGTTGCCTCCCTCAGATTAATCTGGTTCAAAGGCAGATGATGTCAAAGCTTGGGTGTATTTTGAAAGGCATGACTTTGTTTGCTGCACCCCCCCCCCCCCCCCCCCCCCCCCACCTCACCCCTATTGCAAAATTAGTTCCTCTTGAGACAGGACTGCGTGGGTCCGTATTAGTTGCATAACACAACAGAGAAGGACCTTGGAAGCTAATTGCACATCCCGCTTTGAAAAACATGAGTCAGCCACTGGGCCCTTTGTAGTGTGTAAGGGGGCCCTTTTGCAGTTTGAATCGAACGCCTGATACATCTTCTTCAAGGCCAGTCGACAGAGTACAGCTGGCATTGTTGACGTTGGAACAAACACTCACCCACCTGGCCCAGCGCCACACACCCTTGGTGGGCTTGTTTACCCATGTTTGCTGTTTGAATTCAATTTCCTTAGCATTATGCCTTGCCACCAATATATGTCAAGACAGCTCCATCTTTAACCTTCAGTTGCAGAAGCAAGTGGTAGTATTTTCCTTCGGCCTTTCGCTTGTTTGTTGTGACATTTGTTTCCCTCCTCCAGCTACTCCACATGGGGCATGGGATAGGGTGGAGATAGCCTCAGGAGCTTCCAAAGTGGACACAAAACATGAGCTCAGTTTCTCTTGCCGCAGAGCCAGCCTGCTGTGCTGAGCCAAGACCCTCTAGCACTCTCCGTTTTGATTTCACACTACGGTTGGGACCATGCAACAACAACAGCCTGCATTTATGCAGCGCCTCTGTGAGTGTCTTGAGGAGCTTCACAGGAGTGCTATTAGAAAACAAGCCATGTAAGTATACAGCGGGGGAGAGGCTTGGTTAAAGAAGTGGGCTGGAAGGAGGAGAGAAAGGGGTTTGTTTGGAATTCTAGAGCTTAGGGCCTAAGCAACTGAAGGCATGGCCACCAGTGGTGGGACCATTTCAATGAGGGGTGCTCAAGAAGCCAGAATTAAAAGAGGGGATTGTGGAGCTGGTGAAGATGCCCATATTAGGGAGGACCGAGGTCATGGTGGGGTTTGCAAATAAGGATTAAAGCTACATTTTGCAGGCTCCTGTATTGTCAGTGTTGTGGGTTATTCTCCTGGCATAAATCAAAGGAGAACTGAAGGATGCAGGTTAACTTTGTGTTTAATTTAAACAGTCTTAGTCTCAGACTTGCTAAACAGAATTCTGTCTACTACTCTATCCTGGCTCTGTCCCATGTCTGTGTGGCACATCTGTCCAATTTCAGTCCCGCATCTCTCTGATATGTACAGAAAATCATCAAGGTTTATAGACATATTTTGTTTACAGTTCATTCTTGTAAAACAAACAGAAATCTTCCATTCTAGGTCTTTCACTTACCTTGTTTATACTCTAAAGGCTGATGCAGGCCTTAAGATGTTCAAGATTCATGCTTGCAAAAATGTGCCTTACAGTACTGGCTTATAAAGTCACACCTTACTCTTGTAATGTCTTTTTATAAAACCCTGTTTAATTCACCCGTTTTGGCCTTTGGCCATGTCCGAGGTAGTCAATTTTAGTGACAGTGAAATTTCCTGTTATGCTCCATCTGACCTAGTGAGCCTTCAGTTTAGGCCCTTGGTCCACTGGAGAAACTCAGCGGGTCTGGCAGCATCTGTGAAGAGAGAAACAGAGTTAATGTTTCAAGTCCATTATGAAGCTTTTTCAGAACTACATTCTGAACGCCACTCTGAAGATGAGTCATACCAAACTCAAAATGTTTACTGTTTCCACTCTCCAAAGATGCTGCCAGACCTGTTGAGTTTCTCCAGCATTCTCTGTGTGTTTGTTTCTACATTCTGATCTCCTAAACCAAGGTCACCTTGAACTACTGCACCAGTGTCAGCCTTGATCAATAGTGCTACCCCTCCACCTCTACGTAGCTTTCTATTTGTCTTGAATGTCATGTACCCCTCATTATTCAGAACCCATTCTATGTCCCCTTAGTCTCTGTAATGACTATCAGATCATGTTTATTTCAATGTGTGCTATCAGTTCTTTGTTTTGTAATGAATACTTTACACATTCAGGTGCGGAGCCTCCAGTTTTGCTTTTATATAACATCGAGTCCAGAATTGTTGGTTTGTTTTCCTCTCTGTTCTATCTTTCCATCGTTTGACCTTCCTTTCCCATATTACTGGTTTTTTTTCTCTTACCTTGCCTGCGCTCTTTGATGTACCACATTGTTCCACATCTTGCCCCCATGATCTAGTTTCAAACCCTCTCTAATTTCCTGACTTTGCAGACATGAATTTTAAACGTGAGGCAGTGACCATATCCAACAAGGCAGAATCCAAACCTCTGCTTTGATATTCAATGGCATTTACCATCCCTGAATCCTCCATCATTGACCTCCTTTGACTTACCATTGGCTAGAAACAGAACTGGACTAACCTTATGAACAGAGATAGTAGGAACTGCAGATGCTGGAGAATCCGAGACAACAAGGTGCAGAGCTGGATGAACACAGCAGGCCAAGCAGCATCATAGGAGCAACGTCAGCCTTCCTGCTCCTATGATGCTGCTTGGCCTGCTGTGTTTAACCTTATGAACACACTGGCTACAAGAGATGGCCAGAGGTCGGGTATCCTACAGCGAGTCAGTCACCTCCTGTCTCTCCAAAGCCTGTCCACCATCTACAAGACAAAAGTCAGGAGTGTGATGGAATACTCCCCACTTGCCTGGATGAGTGCAGCTCCAGCAACACTCAAGAAGCTTGACACTATCCAGGACAAAGCAGCTCCTGCTTGATTGGCACCACATCCACAAACATCCCACTCCCTCCACCACCGACGCTCAGTCACAGCAGTGTGTACCATCTACAAAGCTCCTTCAACAACACCTTCCAGACCTATGACCTCTATCACATAGAAGGACTGAGGCACCAAGAGTTTGGGAATGCCACCATCTGTGATCTGATTTGGAAATATATGGCAATTCCTTCAGTGTCACTGGGTCGAAATCCTGGAATTCCTTCCCTAAGGACATTGTGGGTCTACCTACAGCACATGGACTGCAGCGATTCAAGAAGGCAGCTCACCCCCACCTTCTCAAGGGGGCAACTAGGGACTGACAATAAATGCTGGTAAAATGCCTGCATGCAATGAACATGTATTCTTTTAAAAGCCTATTTCCTAGTGGCTGTGAGCTGGAAAAAGAAACCTGGCAATCACATTCAGAAAGGGTGCAGGGATGGCTGGTGTTAGAAACGCAAAGATCGCAGTTTGAGATGTGTTTGTGCCATTCAGCAGAGTCATGAGTAGCCTATTACAGAGCTTTGTATGCTACATGTTCCCCAAGAAAGCTTGGTACTAACAGCACAAAGATGTCCTATTCCCCAGCACTGATGTTGTTTCCCTTGATGACACTGAAAGCTGACTAGTTGAAATCTCTCTCTACTTCAGGAGTGGCATAGTGGCTCATGGTTAGCACTGCTGCCTCACAGCACGAGGGACCTGGGTTTGATTCAACCCTCGGGCGACTGTCCGTGTGGAGTTTGCATATTCTCCCTGTGTCTGCGTGGGTTTCCTCCAGGTGCTCCGGTTTCCTCCCACAGTCCAAAGCTGTGTAGGTTAGGGTGGATTGGCCATGCTGAATTGCCTGTAGTGTTCAGAGAATTGTAGAATAGGTGGATGGGTCGGGGTGGGACGCTCTGAGGGTCAGTGTGGACTTGTTGGGCCAAAGGGCCTGTTTCCACACTGTAGGGATTCTATGAATTCTAACTCAGCAAGCTCCAATAAGCTTGCTTTGCTTCTGATTAAAGGGTTACCATTTCTGCAGTTGATTTAATGGCCTGTTGCTGAACAGCCTACACTTATGTTGGGTGGCTCTTGTTGGTGCAGTGATAATGTCCCTACCTCTGGGCTAGGAGACCAGGGTTCAAGTCACAAGAAGTTAGTTTTTTAAATAAAAGTCTATACAGTAAATCTGCGTAGTTGGGAGCAGGAGAAAGGGACATTCATAGATCAGGATCAAATGAGGATCTAGAAGGCATGGTTAGTAAGTTTGTGGATGACACCAAAATTGGTGGTATAGTGGACAGTGAAGATGATTATCTAAGATTTCAAAGTGATCCTGATCAATTGGGACAATGAGCTGAAGAGTGGCAGATGGAATTTAATTTGGATAAATGCAAGGTATTGCATTTTGGTAAAACAAACAAGGGCAGGACGTACACATTTAAAAATAGGGCCTTGGGTACTCTTGTGGAACAGAGAGACTTAGGAGTTCAGGGACATAATTCTTTGAAGTTTGTGTCACATATAGACAGGGTGGTTAAGAAGGTGTTTAGCATGTTTGCCTTCATTGCTCACACCTTTGAGTATAGGAGTTGGGACATTATGTTGAGGTTGTACAGGACATTGGTGAGGCCTCTTCTGGAGCAGTGTGTGCGGTTCTGGTCACCCTGTTATAGGAGGGATATTATTAAGCTGGAGAGGGTTCAGAAGAGATTTACCAGGATGTTGCCAGGACTGGAAGGTTCGAGTTATAAGGAGAGGCTGGATAGGCTGGGACTATTTTCACTGGAGTGTAGGAGGTTGTGAGGTAACCTTACAGAGGTTTATAAAATCATGAGAGCTATAGATAAGGTGAATGGCAGGTGTCTTTTCCCTAGGGTGGGGGAATTTCAAGACTAGGGGGCATATTTTTAAGGTGAGTGGAAAAAGATTTAAAAAAGACACAAGGGGCATTTTTTTTTTACAGATAGTGGTTCGCGTTTGGAATGAACTTCCTGAGGAAGTGGTGGATGTGGGTGCAGTTACAGGGTTTAAAAGATATTTGGATAAGTACATGAATAGGAAAGGTTTGGAGGGATATGGGCCAAATACAGGCAGGTGGGACTGGTTTAGTTTGGGATTATGGTCAGCATGGACTAGTTGGACCAAAGGGTCTCTTTCCATGCTGTGTGACTCTATAAGTGAGCAAGCAAATATGTGACAGTTCAAGCTCATTAAGGATAAAGCTGAATATTTTCAAAATGGTGGGAAAGGAATGTTAAATGCTCAGAGGCAGTGGCATAGTGGTC